CCCTTTTCGGAAGGCTGCCCTGTGGAGGGCTGACTTTTCTCTTCCAGAGTCAGGGAGGAGAGGTGAGGAGGCCAAGGAGAGGAAAACAGCTGTCTGAACTGCGCCCCCGTTCAGGGATTTTAATGCCCAATTCAAGTTCTATGTCACCCTCTCCTTGTATCTCAGAAGGTGTTTTGAATCCACAAATATTTCGAAAACTTCAGTTTTCATGAGTCATTTAAAAGCAAACATACCTATTCTAAAATTAAGTGTTTTTTTAAAATAAATATATCTTAATACCACAGAGAGACTTTTGAGAGAGTGTAGAAAATTGCTAAAGCAATGATAAAATGTGAGAATACCGAGAAGTTGGCAATCACTGCTTTAGGAAGGATTTGTTTGACATAAATACTTTTTGTCTTCTGTCTTGTTGAAACCTTGATGATGCTGTAATTTGACTTTCATATTTCTCAAAAATTATAGATTTTAGATTTAGAAGGGAATTTAGAGGTTATGTGGGCTACAAAAAACCAAATATTTTTGACAACATGTCTAAAAAATTATGTTTTGTCCTCTGCTTGGGTTATATTTAGTGGAGGAGGTATTGCCGCTTAGCACAATTCACTTTTATTAGAAAGTTATGTGTTTTAAAGCTGTATTTTGGAACAAATCTTCAGCTCTCCTGCCCAGGCCACAGCTCCCTGGTCATTTCACCAATGACTGGGATTTCAGACCCCTTAACAGAGGCCATCTGCCTGTGGTGGCAGCAATCTGATTTCCCAGTGTGCCACTTTAGAAAGTAGCTTAAATAAAGGACGTTTACTAATTATTTCTGTTCATTTTCATCTCGCTGCTTCCAGCAAATTTGTCTAGCCTTTTAGATGGTTTTGAATCTTTATTCTGTTATCTGTAGTGTTTACACAATATTTCTAGTGTTGTGACAATTGAAAAGTTGAAACTTTTAAAAATACTTGCTGTTTCCTTTAACCAGTCTGAAAGAAGCTGGTGATGGTGCAGGAGATAGTTGCTTCCACTGCTGCCACCAGGTTGTCTTGGGATGTTCAGTCTTTCGTCTAATCTGTCTTTGATTGTCTTTCCCTCAAGAATACTGTGGGAGATTTCTTGGAATACTTTTAGAGGATCCGAATCACGTGGTCGCCTGATTCACCTGATAAATTAGTAAACATATCAAAAAGGGAAATTGGGTTAGGGTGGTTGGTGAAGCCGTTAAGTGGACTTGGAGTCATCATTACATTCTTTCCTAAATGCTAGTAAACCTGTTTTGTACTCTAGAATTGTGTTAAAGATCAGTGTCAATCTTGCTTAATTCTCCCTTTATGAAAGTGTGGCTTATCACTTGATGGAGCCCTGTATTCTGGTTTTGTCTTCTACCAGCCCTCACAATTCCAGAAGGTGACTCTGAAACAGCAGTCAAGTTCCTTCAGCAACGAGGGAAGTAATTCATCTGATCCTGAAGACTCCTATGAACTTATCTGCAATAGGTACTTGCCCACCATCTTTTATGGGTCTTAGGTAGTGATTCCCTGTTTATATACCCTTACCAGATTACTTCAGTATTCATTAGCATCAAGAGTGGCCTGCAAACACAGAATTAGCCATATTGATAACTGAGTGGAAAAGTTTCTGCAGTAAAAAGTGGTGCGTCATCTGATTAGGGGAATACAGTAGTCATTTGACTTATCTTTCTCTTATTTGTTGTGTTCCTCCAAAAGTGCTCCTGATAGCTCTTTTCTGCCTATTTCTGGAGTGAAATGTAAAGGAGAGAGAGCTAACCTTGCCACTCTCTGGAAAAGGTGGTTTGAATAATAGTAGAACAACAGATGGCAGTGGGGAAATCAAATTACAGATATTTTGCTCTAATACAGTCTCCTTGTCTGTCCTCCAAAGCTCTGTTTTAGGAGTAGGATTCAGAGAGAAGTTGAGAGCTGGCAGGTGGTAGGCACTAGAGATGTAAGAGAAGTTTTTAGTGGATTAATAGGTTGCCTCTTACACTTCCTCTATGTAGTTGAGTTTGGCTTGCAAAAGTAGTAGAATAAATTTATTTATTTATTTTTACTTTATGACATTCATTCATGATGCCAGAGCAGTGAACATTATCCTCATGTGGATCTGTTCTTATTGCCTTTCATGTCCACAGACTGCTACTAACTCTGACAAGTAGCTGTGCTAAAATTGGTCAAACCTCACAGAAACTATGAGTGAATCAATTATATCTATCAACATAAGTGAAAAAGTTAGAAACCACAGAAGCATATGTTCTGTTAACAGCAGACTAGTCAAACAAACTATATTCATATGGAAACGATAAACAATAAGAGTTGTATGTCTGCTTATTTAATTATTATAACTGTAGTGGCATTATATGCTGCTAAAAACTGGAACTGAAAGATTTACACAGCCTGTAAACACATAAATGTAATCATGGACTACCTTAAATTTTTTGTAATGTCTCTCCATATGGGTTCATTAAAGTGAGAATTTTCAGAGCCCTTTGACTAATTGATACAAAGCCCTCTATTTTAGTAGAGCTTCAAGTGTAATTCCTGGCAAGTGTTGCAATATTTCCACTAACCAGGCTAGTTTTTTTTTATAGACAGGATTCCTTCTGAGTAGAAAAACATAGTTTGGGAATCAATAATTTCCCAGCAAAAACTTTCAACATATACAATAATATATAAATATCCTAAGCATAAAAATTATTGGATTTTTACGTATACATTCTGATGAATGTGGTGTTTTTGTGGTATTTTGCCTAGCTAGGAAGTGAAATCACGTGGATGTTGGTGAGTCCCCCATGGTAGCAGTTACTTCATTTTGGTGGTTCAGAGTGAACTAGAACTTGGAAGCTTTCTTTAGGTAAGGAAGTTGGTAGTTTGAAAAAGAAATGATCAATTTTTTAAAATGATCATATATGTTTAGGCTGAAATTTTATGTTAAGGTTCTCAAGCTAATAAAGATCAATTTGTCTTGCATTTTAAAATATATTTTACTGATGTTCATTGCTATAAAATTATATAAAATTTATGATTTGTGGATGAGTTTTATTCTCTGAAAATTAATGCACACAAGGAAAAGAAAATTAAAATGTTAATAGAATTAATGGTACCTAATATCCTTTAGTTATTTATGGTTATTCTCCCAGTGAGTTGGCAATTTAATTATTTTACTAAATAAACAATTTTAACAATCAACCCATGTTACACACAGTCAGATTTAATATAGCACAATCCCTTTGTTTAGAACTGCAAGGCAGTTTTCTAACCTGGCATTTGGATGAAGTCTTTTTTTTATTTTTGGCTTCACTACTTTTCTAGGGAGGGATTATACTAGGGATAACTTTTTTTGTAATACCTTAGTGAAATTTTAACTATACATTCTATAGGCTATCAAATAAAACAATAACTAAGCGAAATGCCAATAAGTGTGCTCCACATCAGAGTTTAGAAGCCGATGTCCATTCCTTTGCCTTCCCTGGGCCATCATTGGGATTCAAGAGTAGATGAGCTCTTTCAAAATAGCGTATGCCTTGAATTACTCATTTCAGCAGTTTCGTATATTCGACATTGTATTGCTGGACCAGTTCTCAGTTATGCATGTAACTGGTTTAGTCAGATTAAAATGTGTGTGGTAGTTCTTTTCCCTGATGCTTTGCAACTTTTTTGCTTTCCATTTCAGTTTCCAAGCCCAAAGGTGACCTTTCATTTTGTTCAGTGATTTTATGTCAGTCCTGGTTCTGGGATCCACTCTATGCTGCGGTTAAGAAATGTTTCACATCAGACAGAGTGACTCACAAGACAAAGATATTTTCATATTAAATAAATATTTTATTAGATTTGTAGGTATCTTTCAGTTATGTAACTGAATCTTCCATATATACATTCCCAACATTCAAGGGTGAACAGAGGGTTAAATAGTCAACCAAAGTTAAATCAAGTTCAAAACTACTCTTACCATGAATTTGCCTCTCAGACAATTGTATACTTTGGATTCTTATGTAAAATACATAAGATAACCCTGTATACTTGGGTTGTCTGGACCTGAAATTTGTTGGAACTTAGTTGTGTCTCAGGCTAATACCTGGAGATTCGTCATTTCCTTTGTTGGGGAAGAATGCTCATTCCTTTGCTGTTTTGTGTTGGCTGGTGAGGGTAAAGTGTGCTGCCTACACAGACTCCATCCCTCCTTATCCAATTTCTCTACAGCTCCTGTATCCTGGGTGTCATCTGAAAATTGTCACATATCATTTCACTTTTTGTTAGAATTGTGCTTCGACTTAAGTAGTGAAATTTGTTCAGAAAAATGTGTTGGACAATTTAATATAACAACAACAGCTGCCACATTCATTGAGTACTTACTATGTGTTGGCACTTAAGACACTTTAATCCTCACAGCAACCTCATGAGATAGGTACTGCTGTTCTTCCTGCTTTTCAGATGAGGAAACTGAGGCTTAAATTAATTTGCTCAGACAAGACATGGTTAGTAAATGGCAGAGCTGGGACTTATCCAGACCTGTGCTTTTAATTATATTTTACCATCTCCCAGACTCCTCAGAAGTTCTTAGCACAATTGCAGTATGATGCTTCCTTCTCTGTAGGAGATAGTAAGAATACAATAATTAACCAGGAGTAAACCTGGGACATACACTGCTTCCTTGGACGTTTCCTCTTGGAAGCCTCCTCAACCACCCCCTCACACATACATACTCAATTACATGCCATTGCCTTATGCTTCCGTTGCAGTTTGTTCCAATTTCAGTGATGGCATTTTTCATGGTACGTCACCATTTGACTATAGCTCTTTGAGAACAGGTTTCCTCTTAATTATCTCTGTATTCCCAGCACATAGCAGTACCTATCACGAAGGTGCATGTAGCACGAAAGGGGAGGATTACTATTAAAATTGTCTTAAACTGTTTTTCACTTTCTAATGTTGTCATTCTATGCAATTAGAGCACAAATACATGGTGGAAATGTGGAAAAAAATTATCACTTAACATTTTTTAATGTTTACAGAATGAAGAGGAACAGTTTATCTATTGTGAATAAAATTGTCCAATCGTCACCAGCAGTGAAACAGCCAAAACTTGGGTTCTACTCCTCTCTCAACCAAACTCATATGTACACTGTTCTTCTAGACTGGGGGAGTTTGCCTCACCATGTAGTATTACGCATTTTTCAGTATCTTCCTTTAATAGATCGGGCCCAGGCATCTTCTGTATGTAGGAGGTGGAATGAAGTTTTTCATATTCCTGACCTTTGGAGAAAGCTTGAATTTGAACTGAACCAGTCAGCTACTTCATATTTTAAGTCCACTCATCCTGATCTCATTCAGCAGATCATTAAAAAGCATGCTGCCCATCTCCAGTATGTCAGCTTTAAGGTAAGAAAGATAAGCATTAAATAGAAACAGTGATTTACGTTTTGTTAGCATTTTTGTATATCTAGATCCTTATATTGAAGCAGCCAATGTATTTTGCAGAATTTTTATCCTAAACTATTTCCTGTTTTTCTGTAGTTATTTTCATGGAGTAAGATGTAGAACTTGAGCTATAATTAAATAACTTAAACTTCAGTTTCCTTCATCTGGATCTATTATTAAAATTCAGGTAATTGTAAAATATTTGAAAGTATGAAGTGCTTAGAAAGTTAATTTGTCATCATCTCTATTTCTCACTTTTTATCTGAGACATTTTGTATAAAGAAAAAATACTAATTTATTTTATAGCTTAAAGGGATAAATACAATTTTGCAACTGAATTCTATTAAATAATTATGTTGCCAGTAACTTTCTGATAAGTTACCTTCAGGAAATTAAGATTTAAAATTGTTTTTGTAGGTTGATAGCAGTACTGAATCAGCAGAAGCTGCCTGTGATATACTTTCTCAGCTGGTAAATTGTTCTATCCAGACTTTGGGCTTGATTTCAACGGCCAACCCAAGTTTTATGAATGTGTCAAAGGTAAAGATGCTGGGCTTTCTTGTAAGATATGCTAAAATTCTTAAGTATTATGAAACTAGGCAAAAAAGAGTCTTTTCCCAAAAACAGACCATATCCTACTTGAATTCAAAGAATTATTTAAAGCAGTTTTCTGTTGACTAGCACTTACTTTTGCTAAAATACCTAATGCAAGGTTTCATTCTTTAGATATATTTTGTAATTTTAATTGTTTCCACAGTAGATGTCATTAATATAAAATTTGAATGTTATATTTACAGTTTTCAAATGCCAGTTTACTTAGTTTCTTTGAATATAGAGTGTGTAGGGCCAATAGTGGATATCTTTCCTGTAATTCTATAGTCTCTCCATTGGAGATGGAACAATGTAATGTTTAATTAAATGAACTATATTAGTTACGGTCATATTTGAGTCCATATAATAGAAATTTCGAAATAACAATGGCTTAAAAAATGTAACTAAAGGTTATTTCTCTTACACTAAAGAAATCCGTGGGTGAGACAGTTTATAACTGGTATGAAGTTATTAGGAACCCCGACTCCTCCAGCCACTCCATTCTCTCCAAGGTGGTTTTTTCATTTTCACTGTCCAAGATGGCTTTCTGAGCTCCAGCTATCACATCCTTGTTCTAGACAGCTGGATGGAAGAAATGGGGGAAGAGGGGCATGCTGTTTCCTTTTCAAGGAGACTAGCCCTAAGTACCACATAATGCTTCTGCATATGTCTCATTAGCCAAAACTTAGCTCTGTGGCCACACCAGATTTCTGAGAGGCTAGGAGAGTCTTTTAGCTGGGTGGCAATGTGCCCAGCTAAAAATTGAGACTAGATAACCAAAGAAGAAAAGATGAATGGTTGTTAGGAAGCAACCAGCAGTCTCTGCCACAGAAACTAATAACTGTCTTCTCTTCATTCATGCTTCAACTTGAATGCTCTCTCCTCAGAGAGGCCTTCCTTGACCTCTTTTGCCAAAACACACCCACTCCTCCAGTTCCTCTCTACTATATTACAGTATTTTATTTTCTTTATATCATTCATCAGTACTTGAAATTACCTTATTTATTTAACATGCTTACTCTCTTCTTCCCAGACCAAATCGTAAACTCCTTGTTTATTTACCATTATAAACCCAGAATTAGAATAGTGGCTGATGTGCAATAAGCACTAAATTATGGTTGTCGGTAAAATTGGCTAATGGAAATCTTCCTATAGAAGAGGATAGAAAAATAGTAGCATCTTCTTTCTCATAAACTGGGTCATGGCTCTCTTTCATCAAGCATTTCTGCTAGCCTATTTATCTTTTTAAGAGATATGCTGAAAAAATGGGTCATTTAGGGATTAGAGTAATATAAGTAATCAGATGAAAACAGAGGTAGAGTACTACCTCTAAATAGTTATTTCCTTGTTTATGAACTATGGAATCAGATGAGCCTGAAATTCTTAGATTCTAGGTTATCTCTAATGTTGCACGTCAGCTTCCAGGGCCAACTTCTAGGTTGGCCGATGCAGTCACCAGAGTAGCTCTAGCGATTAGCTGCCTTCATTTCAAGCTCTGCCTCCCCAGTAAAATGAGCTCTGTAGCTTCTGGCAAAGTCGTGGATCTCTCTGAGCCTCAGTTTTTTCATTTGTAAACTGAGAAAAAATAAGGTAAAAGTACAGCATTTTGCTAGGCATGAAAAGTGCTAAACGAATATATTGTTACTATAATGAAATATGTACTCTAATGCTTAAATGTGTCCTTCAGGACTAAAAGAGTCCATTGAGAGTTGATTAAAGGGAAAATAAACCTTGTATTTCTTAAGGAAAAAGAATGATGTATTTATATTTCTCTAATAATTTTTGGCACCATAAAATTTAGTAAAGAGTTCTAGCTATCCACCATTTAAAAATTTGTGTAAATCAGTTTAGAATTAGTATAAACCAACAAGTTTTTTATAAATGAATTAAGATTTATAACCAATTTGGTCATTCTAATAAGGACAGTAGAACCTTTGGTAGAATCCAAAATGATTTTGAAAAAGGAAAAATGATCATGCATGGTATTGGTTTCTAGGCTTTCTATCTTTGTCAAAAAACACTGGATCTGAAAACTTGTGAAATTTCACCCATTTTGAGGTCAAACTAAAAATGAACGTTAGTCTGTCAATCGTCAAAACATAGAAAGTTTTCAAAACATATCTTAGTTTAGATAATTTGCTAGCAAAAAGCATATCACTGAAGTATATGACATCATTTATTCATCAATAAATATTTATTGACCTTTTACTATGTGCCAGATACTATTGTAGGTGCTGGATTATACGAGTGAATAAAACAGATAGAAATTCTTTTTCTTCTAGGGCAGAGGTTGAAAAGGTCCAGATGGTAAATATTTTAGGCTTGGCGGGTCATACAGTTCTGCCGCAATTCTGTTGCTGCGGTGCCACTCAACTCGAGCATTGCAGTGTGAAAGCAGACATAGACAATACATAAATGGAGCGGCATGGCTGTGTTACAGTCACACTTTAATTATGGACACTGAAAGAGTTGCATATAATTTTCACGTGTCACAAAATGTTGTTATTTAAAAATTTTTTTCAACCACTTAAAAATGTAAAAACCATTCTTAAGTCATGAGCCACACAATAACAGAGTGTGGACTGGATTCGGCTGGCAGACCATAACTTGCCAACCCCTATTCTAGGAAATAAATATAATTATATCCTTTTAATATTGAAAACCAAATCCTTAAGATTGAAAATAATTAGAAGACGTTTATGAAATCTTTGAAACTTTTTCCTTTCTCACCATTCCTTTTATCAATTGTAAAAGTATGAAACTATATTTTGTTATAAAAATGTCTTCTACTGGCTAGTGGTACTATGAAAAACAGTAATGTGTTGACTACTTTTACTATGTTGTTGTAAGCTTATGTTGATATAGTTTTAATGAGTTATTTGAAGCTGTAGGTTTGTAAATAATATTTTCATGATTTTTTTCTTATTGCCATGCAAGTCTCATTTTGTGTCAGCACTTACAGTTGTTTTTGTCAACTCAAAATCACTGTCGTCAATCAAAATTGAAGACACACCGGTGGATGATCCTTCTTTGAAGATTCTGGTGGCCAATAATAGTGATACTCTAAGACTCCTAAAAATGAGTAGCTGTCCTTATGTCTCATCTGATGGTAGGTTATATTTTTTAAGCTTATGTGATGTTTTTTATTGTAGTAATAGTAACAATGCAATTTTTTATTGAAAACTACCTGCTTATGAAACATAATTCATTAATCTTTTTTCAAAAAATGTCTTAATCTGCAAGGTAGATATAGTTTAAATTGCTTCTCCTAAGAGTATTTTAGTTATATATATATTTTTTATTGTATATATAATTATATATATCTTGGCATCTCTTTCCTCAGAAATTGTTAGATGGCTGTTTTAGCAAATAATGAATAACTAATATCAAATTTAAATTTACAAAATGTTATATTAGTATCAGTATGATTCTTTGTTCTTAAGAATTTTTCCCCATTTCTCGCAGGAATCCTTTGTGTAGCTGATCATTGTCAAGGCCTTAGAGAACTGGCATTGAATTATTACATTCTAAGTGATGAACTTCTCCTGGCCCTTTCACGTGAGACTCATGTTAACCTTGAACATCTTCGAATTGATGTTGTGAGTGAAAATCCTGGAAAAATTAAATTTCATTCTATTAAAAAACAAAGTTGGGATGCACTTATCAAACACTCCCCTGGAGTTAATGTTGTTATGTACTTCTTTTTATATGAAGAGGAATTTGAGACATTCTTCAAAGAAGAATCCCCTGTTACTCACCTTTATTTTGGTCAGTCAGTAAGCAAAGCAATTCTAGGAAGGGTAGGTCTTAACTGCCCACGACTAATTGAGTTAGTGGTATGTGCTAATGGTCTTCAGACTCTTGATAACGAACTTACTTGTATTGCTGAACACTGTAAAAACTTAACAGCCTTGGGCCTCAGTGAATGTGAAGTTAGCTGCAGTGTGTTCATTGAGTTTGTGAGACTGTGTGGGAGAAAGCTAACTCAGCTCTCTGTGATGGAGGAAGTTCTGATTCCAGATGATGATTATAGCCTAGATAAAGTTCACACTGAAGTCTCCAAATACTTGGGAAGAACGTGGTTTCCTGATGTCATGCCTCTCTGGTAATTGGCTACCAAAGATTCTTAACTATTTTTTTAAGTCAATAAGATTAGCTTCTTTCTGTCTATGCAAATATAAATTTTAAGATGTATTGCTGAAATATTTTAGGTAAAATATTTTATTGTTTGCAAACTGTCTTAACAGATTGCAGCAGAAACATTTGAAAAAATAGGAGAAGTTTGAAAAGCCAGAAATCTCTGTAAATAAGGCACAGACACTGTATTGTGGATTAGATAGTTGATATGCTAAAGACTACAGGTGGTTTCTAGAAAAGTTCCTCAGCCTTCCTTGAAGGCATATTTTAGTTTGCTTAATAAATTAATAATATTGAGCTTTGGATCCCTTAAATTATGTCATTTACAACTTTATATTGTTTGAATTGTTTTTGTTTCATCTTAGTATTAATATATTTTACAAAATATTAGTATTAAAAACCAGTAAAATCAAAGTATAGATATATAGAGGTTGGCTTCATCGTACTTCATTTTTAGCACTATATAAGATCGTATTATGATTCAATAAACAACTTCTAATTTCCAGTGCGCTTTGAATTCTACTTTATTGTATTAACTTAGGAGAAAATGGGCATTAGATTAAAATTAAATAATGCTAATTCATTTCATAAAGGTACTGTGATTGTTGATTAAATACACTACTGAGATAAAAAACTAACTTTTGCAGAGTGTGTTTGAGGGGGAATCAGTATTTACTCATCTACTACTGTGTATCTGAAACTATGCCGGATCCTTTGCAAAAGTGATCTTATAATTTTAAAACTCTTTAATGGTTATGTATTGCCTTTAGGATGAAGATATATCCTTAAAATGACCCGCAAGATCCTACAAGGTCTGGCTTCTCCCTGCTGCTTTGCCCTCATTTTCTTCCTACAAGCTGCCCCTTGCCCTTCTGCTCCTGTTCTCTTTCAATCCCTTAGGACAGCCATGCACCCTCTAGGCACAGGGTGTTTCTGCATATTCTTCTTTCTGCTTGGATTACTCTCTTTGCTCCCTCAGGTCTTTCCTTTAGTGTCATTTCCTCAGGGAATCCTCCACGACTCCCAGCACTCTGTGACTTCCCTTTGTGGCGCTTGCCACTATTGTAATTTACCATTTACTTGTATAATTATTATCTGTTTATTCCATTGCACTGTCAGCTCCACCAGTGCAAGATCCCTGTGGGGTTTTACTTACTGTTGTATCCCCAGCGTATAGCATAATATTTAGCACATAGCAGGCACTCAATAAATTTTAAGTACTTTCTTTTTCAAATTTGTTCCCCTAAGTCCTCCTCCCATCTTAAATTTCTTTCTAAGAAATCAATTAAACTAAAAAAAAAAAAAATTAGAAATACATTCATTTTCCAGTTTTAAGTATTTTTTAATCAGGAAAAAATTTTTAAATATTCTCACCTATTAAGCAGTTAGAATACATTGTGGTTTATAAATGGTGATTTACAAAAATGCTCGTTTTATATCCCTTCATTTAGAGACTGTACTTGTGCACATATTGTCACATTTTGTCACTGTGAGCTCTGTAGGAACGGGCATCTCACCTCATTTACCTTTGTGTTTGAAACTCAGAACAGTGTGTAAGCACATTAATACACACAATAAATGCTAGAGGAGCTGATATTACTGGTTAAAAAATAAAAGCAGTTTCTTAAAGACAGTTATTACTATTGCAGATCATATCAACTATACCTTAAGATTTCAGGAGAGTGCAGAAGTAGCATATAATGGGGAACTTAAAGTCTGATTAGAATAACAAGACAAACAAACATAAAGGAAATGGTATAACTCAAATGGAGGAGTCAGGCTGGTGGGAGATTAGAGTAATGGTGGAAATGCTGAAGAGAGAAACCTCCGGTCTCACCTGGAATTACTTTAAGTATATATACCTGAATGGTAAAGTGATAGAATGCCAGTGGTGTTTGCACTAGAAGGATAACGTAGCAAAACGGGGGGACTAGAAAAGGGAGATCAAGGGGGAGTTTCTCCCCGTAGCCCACTAGCACAGAGTGGTAATGAGTATCAGTGGTCTCTTTTACATCGAATGAGAAGTTGCTGCTCTAAATAGTGGCCCAGTAGTCGAACCTAGTGAAGCACTGTAATGACTCTTAGAGTAAAAAACAGAGTAAAATCGTTCAGCTCAATTAAATGACCCTGATTGATCTGACTTAACTGGGTTGATAAATTGAAGAGCAAACATTTTTATAACAGCCAAAAACAAGATGACGAAATACAGAGGTTTTTTTTTTTTTTGCTGAGGAAGATTCGCCCTGAGCTAACATCTGTGCCAATCTTCCTCTTCTTGTATGTGGGTCACAGCATGGCCGCCACAGAGTGGTGTAGGTCCGGGCCCGGTAACCAATCCCGGGCCGCCGAAGCGGAGCATGCTGAACTTAGCCACTAGGCCACAGGGCCAGCCCCAATATAGAGTGTTTTTGATGTTTCATCTAATGAAAATGTCTCCATTTACTTTGGAAGTCGATGGAAAGTTGCAAAATTAGAGGATTCTAGATAAATGAATGAGTTTGATATTAGATGAATTTCAAGCTTTAGGCTTTGAAAAATATTTTAATTCTGTCAGCAAACTTGTTCATGTTAAAAATATTTCCTTGTATGTGTTAGAGAGTTCTGGAAAAGTTAAGATAATTTTGTGGGCAAAATGTAAACGGAGAGAATGGGAGAAAAGGCTTTATTGTAGGTTGTACCGAAGAGACACAAAAATAGGATTCTCAGATTTTTGTTTTTCCTTCCTTATAAGCCTTGCTGGCCTCATTTGTATGGTACTAAATACTGGGGAGATGGGTAGATTTTACAGTTATAGGTATTGCTGTTAATGTAACACTAAATATGGGAAATGTCACAGGATGTAAGAATTCTTCCCTCTTTAGGCCTGGCCTCTTAAATTAGCCCCTTATCCTGTTCTTCCATTAAATTACTTTCCTGCTGAAAACTCAAAATATCTTTTCTAAATAAAAATTGATTTGGTTCACATTATTAATTTATAGTCATTGAACTTAATACCTGACACCACAATTTTTTGAGTGTATATTATAATCACTTTCACTAAGGAAAAATAAGTTACTCAGTACTATTACTTCTCTGTCATTTGAACCTTTATAGTACTTTAAGCTAAATGTTTTGACACTCAAACCTAAAAGAAAAGGAAATTAAAAATAAAACAGGGGGCCTCCGTGGCATAGCGGTTAAGTGCGTGCGCTCTGCTGCTGGCGGCGCGGGTTCGGATCCTGGGCGCGCACTGACGCGCTGCATGTCAGGCCATGCTGTGGCAGTCTCCCATATAAAGTGGAGGAAGATCAGCACGGATGTTAGCTCAGGGCCAGTCTTCCTCAGCAAAAAGAGGAGGATTGGCATGGATGTTAGCTCAGGGCTGATCTTCCTCACACACAAAAAAATTTAAAAACAGGGGACCGGCTGCTTGGCTTGGCGGTTGAGTGCGCACGCCCCGCTACTGGCGGCCCCGGTTCGATCCTGGGTGTGCACTGACGCACCGCTTGTCCAGCCATGCTGAGGCAGCGTCCCACATACAGCAACTAGCAGGATGTGCGACTACACCATGTAACTATCTACTGGGGCTTTAGGGATAAGAAGGAAAAAAGGAGGAGGATTGGCAATAGGTGTTAGCTCAGGGCCGGTCTTCCTCAGCAAAAAGAGGAGGATTGGCATGGATGTTAGCTCAGGGCTGATCTTCCTCACAGAAAAAAAAAAACCTCTAAGGCACCAGAGGGCGCTGTATGCTAAAAAAGATGTCATTTAGTCTAAAGTTAGCATTTCCATTCAATAGATATGAGAGTGCTCGTGGAATGCTAGGCAGAAGGCAGCGTTCTTGCTCTACTTTGGGGAAGCTCTCCACTCCAGGTAATGAATCTGGTTTTTAAAACAATCCTTTCAGACAGTAGATTATTTAGAAGGCTAAGCAGATATTTCATTGTTCACACATTTTAGAGTGCCTTATAAATTACCTTTAAGGTCTGTGTGCTGTTTCCTTTTTTGTGTTCTCACTGGGAGCACAGCCTTTGTCCTTTGAAAACAAATGTAATTTCTGGAAACAAACTAAAGTTATTTGACACTAAGGAGATGAATAAGGTAGATGATCAAACCAGACAGTGTTATAGGTTTCCTTTCTTTAACCAAAAGTTAAATTCTTAATTTGCTAGCCTTGTATAAGATTACGACACAGTAGAGAATAGTATCTAACTGGATATGAGAAATTACTAATTGTGTTGTATAGACTCTTAACTATCTGAGAGTCATAATTAACTCTTTCTTCTTCCTGGCCACTCACCTTCAAGTCCTGTTGCCTCTTTAATATATTATTCATAATAATAAGTACTCATGAAATCACATCCCAGCACTGATAGTAACTTAAATTTTTCTGTGTGGTCCTTCCCTATCTAGTCCTGAAATAACTGGTGTTCATTATTTGCTTCATTTCCTTTTTATATATTTTATCATATATATATGTGTTCCTAAAAATTGTTTTCATTGTTTTGACTTTATAAAAAGAGTATCATGCTATATGCAATCTTGCGGACTTTTTTTTTTCCTCAAAATTATATTGCTATGATTCATCCATTTTGTTATGTTTAGCTGAGGTTCATTTGTTGTGATTGCTGTATAATATTCCATTCTGTAACTAAACCACAATTTATTTGTTCATCTCACTGTGATGGGCATTTGAGTTGTTCCAGGTTTTGCTATGACTAATAGTGATGTCATGAACATTCTTATACACATGTCCCTGTATACAAATGCAGCCACTTCTCTTCAGTAATGAAGTTCAATTAATTATGTTTTCCTCCAACATATCTACACTAGGAATGGAATCGTTCTGCTTAAGTTTTCTACATTCCAAAGGATTTAAGCAAAAATTCATGAAGAAAGTTTCTAGAATGATGAAGTCAACTTATTCATTTCTTACTGACTGACTAAAACCTAGGGAGCCATAATTATTTCTGGTCCTTTGAACATTTGCCCGGTCTTATTTCCCCTTAGTACCTATTGTCAACATAACCAGGAAAGAATAATATAGATATGGAGTGATGTGTAGAAACAAGTGGCTATGGTACGTGTGTGGTTAGATGAGGCTGACTGGCTTGGTTCCATGAGATAACTTCAGGACAGGATAGACCTCTTCTCTTTCTAGTGCTCCCTATAATGCAATCTTACTGAAACCCAAAATATTACGTATTTTCTCCAATTGCCATCGTTCATTACCTAAAAGATCTACCACTTGTGTAGAGTCTAGGAATGTGTGGATGTAAAGACCAGCAAATTCTGTCTTGTTCATGCAAGCAGCTCACCCTCCAACTAATTTGACAAACCTAAGGATATTGCTGAAATTCTTCACTACCTTAACTCAAAAGAAGCCTCCAGTTTTTTCAAGTAATATTTATTAAATGTGTAGTGTGTCTAGCATGGTACAACACTCTATTGTTGTACCATAAAAACAGCTTTAGGCTTTTTCTTATTTTCAAGCAGAAAGCTAGTTTTAAAAGTGTCAACAGTGCAGTCTGGACCAGCTTGAATTCGTATGTTTATTTATCCTAAGTATTCAGGACTGATAAATCTTTAAAAAAAAAAAACACTCCAGATCCCATAGGTTACAGAAAGATCAGAGAGTCCTGAGAAATTAGTTGACACTCAAAAACATCAAAGCGGCAATGAGTTGAAATCAAAATGCTATTTTCTTTCTTGAATTCATCATGTTTCTATTTGAACACAAATTTCTTGAAAACAGGGTATGCATCGAGGTTTTAAGAAGATGGCTTTCTGTTTAGAAGATCTCGTCCTTTGTCTTCCATTTATAAGTACACAGTAGGATCGCTCGAGTCACAGTTTTCAATATGTACGTGGGATTGTATGCCAGGATAAACTTTCTGCAAGGGCAGTACTGTTCCCAGTTTTTCTCCCTTCTTGATAGAACCTTTATACTTAATTGGCTTAATGTGGAGCATTTTAATACAGAAACCTGGAAGAAAAGAAGTAAAAGTATTCATTATCTGGGTTTTAGTAGCCTTGAATCAGAAATTTAAAAAAATAAGAATAGAAATGGGAAAAAAGACAAAAAGAAAGGAGAGTTGATTGAAGTCAATGAGGGAATAGAAGAAAACAGCAAAATCATCAGAAAGAAGACTAAAATTACAAGATGCCCAAGGAAGAATGGATTCAAATTAAAATTTAATAAACGCATTGAAGAATAGCAGAAAAACACTAGGTAACTGAGAAAACTGACCCAGAACAATGTCAACTCCAAGACATATTCTAATAAAACTATTAGACTTTAAAGACAAAGAAAAATGGAAATAACTGGCACAAGGGTACAAATCTACCTAAATACCGAAAGAAAATTTTTTAAAAAACAGAAGACCTACCAAATAGAGAAATGGAGAGTTAATATAATACCATAATGATAACAAAATAATATGACAATGTTGGGACCAAATATGTAAGTTATATCTATAAATGGTAACTCTTATATTAAAAAGGTTTTCCTATTGTCTTGAAAAGCAAAACCCAACTCTATGCTATGTACAAGAAAACACAGTAATTGAAAAAGGCTAAAAATTAAGGCCTGGACAAAGATATTCCAAGCAAATGGAAGCAAAAAGGAAAGCAAGAGTTATGATCCTGTTAGCAGAGAGTGGAATTAGGCCAAAGAGCGTTGAAACAAGACAAATAACAGAGAAACCATCTATACAAAGCAGAGACTACAGGAGATACAAGGGGAAATAGAGAGGAACCCACTAGTAATAAAGATTTTAGCACACTTAGGTCAATGAAAATGAGTCAAGTGGACAGAAAACATAAGTAAGGCTTACTGTGCTGTCCAACATGGTAGCCACCTGCCACATGTGGCCAGTCAGCACTTGAAATGTAGCTAGTCTGAATTAGATGTGCTTTAAGTATAAGATAGACACTGGATTTTGAAGACAGTACCCAGAAAAGTAAAATATTAGTAATTTTTATATTAATTGCATTTTGAAATGATATTTTTGAGATATTGGGTTAAATAAAATATATTATTAAAATTAATTTTACCTGTTTCTTTTTGCTTTCTTAATGTGATTACTAGAAACTTTAAAATTACATATGTAGCTTTTATTATATTTCTGTTAGTACTGCTATAGAAGATCTAAACAAAATCAATAAAGATGTCTTATGTACTTATATTAAACAGAATATGTGCAAGACCTCTATCCTGAAAATTAATACAACAACTACTAATATAACAATGCAAGAAGACCTAAATAAATGGAAGATATAATATGGTTATTGATTGGAGGACTCATTACTTTTAAGATATCAGTTCTCAATTTGATCTATATAATCAATGCAGACTCAATCAAAGTCCCGGCAGGATTTTTGATATAAATTGACAAACTGATTCTATAATTTATTTGGAAATGTAAATGACCAAGAATTGCCAAGGCAATCTGAAAGAACAAAAAGTTGGAAGATTTATACTATCAATTATCAAGATGTACTTTAAATTTATAGTAATTAAAAGTGTGTTATTTGTGGAAGATTGACAAACTGACCAATGAAACACAGTAGAAAGACCAGAAACAGACCCACATATATTCAGACCCTGCTTTATGACAGAAGATACTGCAGTGCAGTAGGGAAAGAATGGTCTAGTCAAGTTAATGGTACTGAGTCAATTAGATATCAGTATGGGGAAAAAAATCTTGATCTCTATCTCATTCCTTACACAAAACCAATTCCAGATGGATTATAAATCTACACATGAAAGGTGAAGTAATAAAGCTTGTAGATGAAAACATAGGGAGAATATCTTTTTGACTTCTGGGTGGGCCAGTGTGTCTTAAACAGGTAAAAAAATGTGTTAACAATGAGGGAAAATATTTGGATTCCATTAAAAATAAGAACTTTTGTTTATTAAAAGACAATATTAAGAAAGTGAAAAGGCAACCCATAAAGTGAGAGAAGATATTTACAATACATCTATCTGAAAAAGGACTCGTATGCAAAATATACGAAAAGCTCCTACATACCAATAAGGAAAAGACAAGCAAAAAAGGGCAAAATACTTGAATAGGCGCTTTGCGAAAGACAATATGCATGTTATCAATAAATATGAAAGGGTGCTCAGTTTCATTAGCCATCAGGGAAATGCAAATTGAAGCCAAATGAGATACCACTACATACTCATCAGAATGACTGAAATGAAAAAGGTAGACAACACCAAGTATTGTGTATGGAGCAAGTGGAACTTTCATATACTCCTGGTAGGAGTATAAGTTGGTACTCCTACTTTGGGAAACTGTGTGGAAGTATCTACTAAAACTGAAGATACACATAGACCAAGTTACCCAGCAATTCCACGTCTGCAGCATTCTGCCAGTTGCTAAATATGTTGATTCCAATCAGGCATTCTGGAATGGGGAAGTTACCACAGGGTGGATTTGTGGACACACTGGGCTCACTGTAAGATGGACTCTAGTGAAAAACTGCATTGATCACCTGACCCTGGAAGCCCCTAGTCTGACTGGTGGACCACATTGGCCTTTGGGGCTCCAGGAATTAGTGTCATCCCTTTGGGGATAGGTAAAAGTAAGGTTTACAGTATAAATTTTTGGCTGTGTGACGGAGTTGTTCCTCAAAAGGACTCAGCCTCCCTTTCACTCAAGGAGCTATAGGACTGTGAACTGGCTCAAGTCTGAGAATTGGTTGGCAGGGGGCCGGTTTTGTGACCCATTATTGTGATGATTGAAGTCAGAATTTTGTTCATCAGACGTAGAGCATTTCCATTTATACAAATCAAATAAGGCTTTAGTAAGCTGCCTATCTATTCAGTTCTAGGGTCACTATGATTAACTAGACAATGCTACAGATCTCTGTGCTTGTGATGAATCTGATGACTGCTTCAGCTCTTCTGCCTGTTAGATCACCATGCCAACCCTGACCTTGGCTTCCAAGTAGACCCCATTCAATAGCAGCAGTTTCTCTTGTCATTTCATGTCTACGGAGGATAGCCATCATATAGCTCCTCAAGGATGTAGCCTTCCTCACAAAGGTTTATCACAGCCTCAGTGAGGGGAGTGTCCTCTGGACCCACTCCCAACAGGAATACATATTTATGTTCATTAAAAGGAATGTGCAAGAAAGTTCATAGCATTTTCATAATCACCTAAAACTGGGTACTACCCAAATGTCCGTCTAGAGAAGAATGATTAGGTAGATGAAGATATAGGCGTATGATGGAGCACTGTACATCAATAAGAATGAAGGAACTAAAATTACATGCAAAAACGTGGGTGAATCTCACAAACATGGTGTGGAGTGAAAGAAGCTCCACAAAATACTGCATGCTGTTTAATTCTATTTATATCATTTTCAAAAACAGGCAAAACTAATATATGGTGGAATAGTGATTACTCTCACTGGGAATAATGACTAAAAGGTAGCACAAGGGGTCTCTGGGATGCTACCAATGTTCTTTTTCTTGATCTGGGTGCTGGTTACATAGGTGTATTCATTTCGTGAAAATTCGTGGAGCTGTACACTTATACTTTGTGTACTTTTCTGTGTGTATATTATACTTCAATAGAATTAAAAAAACCAGCAACAAGCCCAGTACCTGGAGTCCCAGGAGACTCAGCTTAACCTAGAACATAGAGAGCTTTGAAAATATTTCACAGTCAACTCTTACAGAAATGCCAACATTTCTGAATTGTGGGATTTTGGCAAATGAAAGTAACTATTCATTATAGTTAATATTGCTGAAAGTGATTTTATTTATAGATTATGTTAAGCAAAACCACATTGGCCACAGGAAGAAAGCCGTTCAGTCAGCTATAGAGTTAGGTGGAGTGTGTGCATAAAGAAGATGATTTCAGGGAAAGTGGCGGAACATCATTGAAAAATGAATCTTTGATAAATGCAAACTGTTTTAGTTTGGTACCCAAGGCCCTTTATGTTCTAGGTCTTATCATTTTGAAGAAAATCTTAAACTTCTATGTATGGAACATGCAATAAATAAATAAGCACCAAATATCTCCAGTATGTGTTCAGGTATATACACCATCTCTTACCGCTTCCAGATATCCGAACACCATTATTGATGGCATTTTTGTCTTTATGCGATTTCGCCTGGCCCACAATCATTCCAGTGAAAGGGGCATATACAGTAGATCCATCAGAGCACAAGACATCCACACCCTGGTGAGGCCTGGGACTTCTAGGATGTAAATAAGAATGAACAGACTGAGGAACTCCCCTTGGAACTTTATTGCCCAGGAACGTGGTGTTAGCCCACTGTTCCCAGACAAGGGTATCAAAAATTGAAGCTGCCAGAACATGCAGAGATGTCCTGGGTTTTCTCACTCTGTTTAGCCCAATTTTAACCTCCCTCTCTGCAGGCAGTAATAACTATGTTGTAAAGATTAAAGCATTTAAGATAGTATCTGATACATAGGAAGCCTTTAAAAAAATATTAGGTATTATTATTATATGGCACTTTGGGGAAATGAGGCAATCCACATAAGTAAATATCTGTATCTTGACCCCTTCAAGACCGCTTAGAAAAGAGGTGTCTTTTTATGGGAACCTATCATAAAAGAATCCTATGTTATTCTAGTCTTATTTTTCTCTCAGTGATCCAGAAGTCATTATAAACATCATTTTCTGTATATGGTGTTTTAATACAGTGAGTGATACCTCCTGGGTTTCTTAAAGTGCATGGAGCATGAACACAAAATGATCCCAGATTTTGAGATTTCTTGAGGTTGTTGCTAACAGTTCTCACTGTTGTCACTATGCCAGCTCTTACCAGCCTCTTCTCCCTTCTAATATGCTACCTGAAAAATCAGATTCACCAGGAGTGTTAGAATTATGTGTAAAGCAACACTGAACAGGTTCCAAGTGAAGAGCCAATAAGTCATTGTATGTGTCAAGTGCATAAACTTTAGGATATGAACTAATTGAGTCTTAATTTCGGCAACTCAGAGGCCATTTTTCCATATTTTCCGTCTCTTAGCCCTGTTCCGGGTATTTGAGGTTGCTTTGTAAGTAGTATCTCTGTGAGAGTTCCACTATAATTAGCATGGAGATAATAATGCAGTTGGACATGTGGCTATTTTGTCAGAGTGGTACTCCCTAGCTGGTACTGTGCATCATTGAAAATTCACAAGTGTATCTTTCATTGCGTGGGAGAAATTGTCTGCTTAGGGTCAGGCGCTGGTATTCAGCTCCCAGAGGCTGAGTCAGTAACACCATTTGATGAGAAGAGGATCCAAAAGCCTGAATCCTAGTCCAGCCTTCACCACTTCCAACTGTGTTTGGTGGGTCCCTTAACCCTTTGCTATCTCAGTTCAAGTTCCTCTTCTGTAAAATTGGATAGTAATGTTTGATTTTCACCTTGGAAAAACCAGGTGAGATAAATCAATGTGTGAAAATACTAAGAGGGAAAACACTGTGTTTGCTCTTCTCTCTCGTTTCCTTATTCAATGCTCTGTTCCCAATTCAGAGCCCATATGTGAAGCAGAGTTCTTGGAAGTCGCTCCAAAGGTAGGAATGTAACTGGTTTCATCTCTGAGTTTTGCTGCTGTCAGAGGGAGAAGATTGTGAGCACTTGGGGGAATGCAGGGCAAGGACACTAAGCAAAGAGGTTAAGAGCCAGGGGAGTTCATGGTTATTTGTGAAACCTCGTACCTTTGAGGAGTGTACTGGCCACAGCCATGGCTGTCACACGTCCTGATCTCATTGGAAGACTTGCCAGCACATATATTAGCCCATGGTCCAGCCAGTGCTAAAAAGGGGAAACATGAGAAGCAGATTTCCTGACCTCACGTATTTCCAATCTCCATTTGCCTTACAAGTCTCCCAGTGGATTCAAAAATTATGTCTTCACTATAGTTTTTTCCTAACTTTCTGTAGTTTATACGGAGGTCTTCCTTTAACTCCTGATTCAGATATAAAATTGGCTTTTTCCCTGGCCACAGAAGTCTGTTTTATGACATACAGAGTATTTGTAAATGTGTTTACTTATAAGCATTAACCTCCATCATAGTTTGTTTCAGATTATCCACTAATAAATGGTATAAACTGTGCTTTTCAAATTTTCTTTACTCATGGATTGGCATGGGGACCACTATGTTTAGGTTAAACAAAATAATTAAATAACATGGCTCAAGTAAATAATTCTAGAAATTCTAAATTAACTTTGAAATGTTCCTTTGTTGTTAGTTCTGATAATCAAAACCAAGAAAATGTACGAATTAAAGGAGAAACAAACTCTCAACTAGCAAAGTTTATTTAACACTAAATAAATCTCTTTCATATTTGCAAACATGGAAGAGAGAGATTCTTAGAAATAAAAACATTTCAAACCAATGCAGCCTGGAGTAGAGTGAGAAGAGAAAGTGGGGCATGGAATAGAAATAATTATGTCAAAAATTATGAAGCAGTGAAACATGCAGGAGGGGGCTGGCGCTTTCAGTGTATTTTGTGCAAACTTTGTTTTAAGTGCAACTCTTTAATATATAGTAAGTACTTGATAAATGTTCAATTTGATTAAATTTCCTGGATTTGCATTGTTAACATTCACAGAGAGATGCAATTAGCAAACTCATCCTTTCACTTCAAAACAAACTAACAAAAACAGAAGCAAAAACAAGAGGTTGATAATTTGTTGATTTTATTTAACGATATTTGCTATTCATTAATATATGTGCTATGACGAGAAGCTACAGTATATGGCCATTAAGCATATTCTTTAATATAATTTTAAAAGATGGATTTCAAAAGTCTTATACCTTGGAGCCAAGCTTCAAGTCAATACCTTGATCAAGCTACAATACCATCACATTGGCAACTAATGTTTATCCTTGGGAATTGAGGCATATACTACACAATTAATTTTTTCATTTTTCTCTCCTGCTGTGAATCTTAAGGGAGCATTCCCCTTGTCCTAATCCACACCAATCTCTTTATCAGGAATTTTCTAAATCAAATTCTTACACAAACTTTATTTTCTAATTATGTTCCAATTAAGTCCTAGACCAAGCTTGAAAGACTTCACTTAAAGTCCTCCCATTCCACTTGTATGTTTCCCTCATTAAAGACCCAGAACATTCACGTGGAAATCATTGAGAAACTCCCCCATGTATCCTTTCTATTCCATTTTTAATAATCAAATATATAAGTTTCTGTTGTGACTGAACTATTAATGACTTTTAAAGCTATCCTTGAAATCAGTTTTTAAAAATTAGCCAAGATTCTAAAATTATATTTTTGACTTACCATTCGAAGTCAAAACAGCCAAAAGGAGGACTCCTGTGGAAAACATTTGGCTTTTATTTTGCTTATGACGTTTCTTCCTCTGATAATTGTAATTGCCCCCACACTCTTTTTGAAGAATGTTCAAGTTTGAATTAGTATTTTCTAGCTAATTAGCCTTAGAATTCTGCGTCTCTCATTTCTTTAATTTAGTATGAGAGACAAAAAATATGAGAATGGAGCAAGTCAGATTCTAATATTCCATCGATAGCTATTTGGTTCACATGTAGGACTTATGCAAAGGCTTTTGATCTGAAGAGGAAGCTAATTTTATTGGAAATGCTGGCTACATATTAACAGAAAGTGATAAGGCTAAGTGAAGAGTGACTGTCTCAGGGGCTGTGGCTTCATGAATAGCTGCATATAGCAAAAATACAAAAATTTGCACAGGCTATAGGATAATAGTTACCTCTGAGGAGAGAGGGAAATAGAATTGAGGGGAATACAGAGTGCTTAAACTCTAAAATACTTTATAAAAAATAAAAATATCAGAAGCAAATATGTAAAAACATTGATTTGTTAATTATTGGTGAGATACATGAGTATTTGTTATATTATTCTCTGTTCTTTTCTGTATATTTCAAACATGTAGCGGCACCTCCTTCTTTTTATGCTTAGTTTTAGATGAGCCCCTCATCTGAGATGAATTTTCTATGGAAACATCTCCATTTAAGAAGTTTATCAGTGGCTGCAGGAGACTGAGATTTGGCCCCAGTTCTTCCACCCTGCCTGCATCCATACTCTTGCCATGTCTCATCGGGGGCAGAGGCGCTTTCCCAACCTTTCATCTGCGGTTCAGCTATATGACGTGCTCTGACCAATAAAACCAGGCAGAAGTGACAGTGTGTCAGCAGAGCTGAGCCCTACAGGGCCCTGTGTATTTCCATTCGCTTTCTTGTCTTCTGCCATTGCTGCCAGGAGAGCATTCCCAGAGTAGCCTGCTGGCCCTAGGAAGAGAATGACAGTCACATGGAGCAGTCACCCTAGCCAAGCCACCCCAGCTGAAGCCACCCTAGCATACCCCTTAATTCACATTAGAAAATCACCAGCTCTCAGATTTATTGAACACAATAATTACACTCCATTGTTTTTAAGGAAATATCAAGCAAATTAAAACAAATATAAGCTAGCTAACTGAACATTTGTCCTTATCCCAGGGCCAGAAGGCACTGTCATCATTCTTTGCATATAATCAGTTATTGTAAGGAATGTTCAGACGTTAGCTACACGTTAGAGATCTTTTGATTAGAAACACTGATCTGTTAATAGACAGCTTTTAATGAGATCTTTTTCCTTTCTGTGCTGTACTTCCTCATAAAGAAACATATGTGGAAGTACGGTTACTTGTTGGGCTACAATTACAGAAGGGCATTTAACTTTTGCAAGACGTAGTCTACTGTCAGCATTATAAGCTGACCTCTCATTTCTCCCCCATGCCTCATGCCTCGGCCATTTTATTTTTCTTAGCACTTTCCCCAGACATAAAGAGGGCCAGGAGGAGGAGGAGAAATTCAAACTGGCTATAATTCAACTTTGAGAGCAGTGGTGACGAAAACTACTTTTCCTATATTGGGGCTAACTAAAAGTTACTTGCCTCTTTCAGCACATTATTCTCATCTCTAGAAAATCTTGAGATAAAATAGTGTAAGAGTTCGCCCCACTGCAAGTCTCAGTCGTTTCCTCCTATCTTACACCTGCTTCTCTGTCATTATGTCTTCTGCTTCCTATGGAGTAGGTAGTGAGCGCATGTTGAAATACCAAAGTGAGAGGACTGGCCGTATTCCAGGAGTTTATGAACAAATTGATTCCGATAAAAACCACTGAATTGTGTACTTCTCTCTGATTAGCCAAAGAAGATACTTGGTTTTCTTCTCTTAAGGCTAATTGTGTCTTTTGCTGAATAATTTCTTTCTTTATTTTTAAGAAGTAGCTATAATTATTGTTCTGATTATGTAAGTAATACATTCTTACTGCAAAAATTACTCCAAAATTTCAAAAAGTATAAAAAATTCCTCACTAACATTTTGGGTGTATGTGGTTCTCTTTTTATTTTTATCTAGTCTCTCATCAGGAAAATATCCTTGTTTTGTTCAATAGGGACTGTCTTCACCTGAGCCTAGCACTAAAAGTTAAATGCAAGAAAAGGCTAAGGATTTTAATGGAACACTAAATAACAGAAGAGTTAAAGTGTTGGGTATGTCCGAGTGCTTCCATTTGGGTAAAATTTATGTGAAACCTTTTTTGGTTTTCCTTAGCTATGAGAATAATGGGTGAGAGGGTGTGGAAATCATTTCTTCAGTATCTTTGATCTTTGATTTGATCTGCAGTTTGGAGGCCTTTGTGAAAGGGGTGAGGCCAATGTGCTTTGCAAAGAGTTGTTGGCCTGGGTGACCTGACTAAACACACTGGCTCCCTCCCTCTCTCCTCCCCCCTGAACATACCTAGAAAGGGCAGGCTGTGTTAAGCTACTGATTTATTAACCAAATGAATTCAGAAACCTGACATACATCCAGAACTGCTCTACTGAAGTCTACCTAGTCACGATTAGAGTGAAGAAGGCATTAAATACACACAATTTGGCTTGTGGAAGCCTTAGCATAATGATGAGGTCCCACTTGGTATTTTCCATCTCTGATTTGAAAATGCTAAGTAAACATTTAAATCATCCATTCTACCTGCCCCAACTCCCCTCCCCCTCCCCACATCCCCAAATCCTCTGTGCTGACAGAGAGAATGGACATGCTTACAAGTATGAGACAATAGTCACCACTGCTTTTGGGGTGAAATAAGCAAGGGGGTGGGATTTGATTACAAAAATAATTTTAATATGGAGAATTGTTTCTAAGTTTTCTAATGTATGGAATGGTTGACTTATCCTAGAAGACAGGAACCTAAAGAAGCATTTTCTAATAATCCATTTCTTTTTCATTGATAGAATAATGGAGGGGACAGATGCTTACAATGGAACATTAGGTTTGATTTACTTTAGATTAAATTGTAAACTACTGAAGGTGAAAAGCTTCGTTTATGAAAAGTAGACAAACAATACAAAATTTCGTATCATGTCTAATGCAATACCTCAAGGTTAGAGGCATATGGCCAGGAGGTTTTCTGTCTAGAAGCCCCTGAGGGAGCATTATCTAAGTCAGAGTGGCAAATATGCAGTACATATATAGTAGTCCCCCCCTTCCGAGGTTTTGCTTTCTGTGGTTTTGGTTACCCCCGGTCAACCATGGGCTAAAAATATTAAACGGAAAATTCTAGAAATCATAAGTTTTAAATTGTGGGCTCTTCTGAGTAGCATGGTGAAATCTCATGCCATCCTGTTCTGTCCCGCCTGGGACGTGAATCATCCTTTTGTTAGATCCCTAACCATCAACATCATCTGCTCCTGACATCCAACCATAGATGTTGTCATGGTTCAATGATCCTTCTGAGGTATCGTCAGAAGGTCAATAGTAGCCTAACACTATGTCACAATGCCTATGTCATTCACCTTACTTCACTTCATCACATGGACATTGTATCATCTCACAGCATCACATCAAGAAGAAGAAGAGTGAGTACAGTTCAATAAGATATTTTGAGAGAGAGAGACCACATTCACACAACTTTTATTATAGTATATTGTTATAATTGTTCTATTTTTATTATTAGTTATTGTTGTTAATCTCTTACTGTGCCTAACTTATAAGTTAAACTTTATCATAGGTATGTATGTACAGGAAAAAGCAGTATGTATAGGGTTCGGTACTATCTACAGTTTCAGGCATCTACTGGGGGTCTTGGAACGTATCCTCTGTGGATAAGGGGGACTACTGTACCATTACTTTCCTGGCTATGGCCAAGGCAGACATTAAGATCAAGCATGATAGTCTGTCCAACTACACTCAGACATGTCCTCATGGTCTTGCCTGTCCTCATGATCACAGAATCTTTCCCAACTATTAATGTGTTGAAGTTAGCATATGGAGTAAAATATTCCTATCATTCTTTACTGAGGTGACTTTACCTTAACCTGGAGTCTGGCCCTTAGTTTTTTCAGATTCCCAGACTCTGACTCAGGGAGAGTGATTCAAGTTCATTACTGGAAGCCAAATAAATGAATACAGAGATAGGTAGATGATGACAGATAGATAGAGGTGATTTTCTTTTCTTTTTTTTATTTTGTGAGGAAGACTGGCCCTGAGCTAACATCCGTGCGGATCTTCCTCCACTTTATGTGGGACGCTGCCACAGCACGGCCTGACAAGCGGTGCATTGGTGCTCGCTGGGATCCGAACCAGGGTCGCCAGCAGCAGAGCACACACACATAACCGCTACGCCATGGGGCCAGCCTCGAGGTGATTTTCAATGGAGATGATTTCTCTGTACTGGGAGAATGTGCTCCCTTCTTGCTGTTAGAACCCTTGGGAAAGTTGTTTGATGAAAGTGGAATGAGGGCCGGCCCCATGGCTTAGTGGTTAAGTGCACGCGCTCCGCTGCTGGTGGCCCGGGTTCGGATCCCGGGTGCACACGGACGCACCACTTCTCCGGCCATGCTGAGGCCGCGTCCCACATACAGCAACTAGAAGGATGTGCAGCTATGACATACAACTATCTACTGGGGCTTTGGGGGAAAAAATAAATGAATAAATAAAATAAAATAAAAAAAAGAAAGTGGAACGAAAGCAAAAAGAGATGAAGAATTTTAAGGGCTTTTCCAACCAACTGTGTGGTCCAGTCTGAAATCTCTTTCTTTCCCATGATAAATGGACTAGAAAATGTTTCTCCCTTAGGTGACACCAAATGGGCCCATGTACCTCTGGCATCTTGATTCCCTTTCTGGCTCCCTAGGCCCATGTTTTTCAACTGGGAGTACCTGGAGGTGGGCCAGGCAATACAAGAAGCCACAGGATAAACATGGTGACATGGTGTCAGGTTTTCTTTAGCATTGGGAATGGGGCAAGAGGAAGAATAATAACAATTATATATAGTAAATGTGTGTGTTTTTTTATATCTGCTAACATATTAAATCTTTTTTTAATTGAGATTTAATTCACATACCATAAAATTCATCCTTTTAAAGTATTTGATTCAATGATTTTTAGTATATTCACAAAATCATGCAGTCATTACTACTATCTAA